CGGGATGAATAGGGGTGGTGACAATCTGTATTCTTAATCCGTCACCACACGGACATTGAATTTAAATTTAATTCATCAATTTAATAGCCTGAGTTGATATAAAAACGCTAATAACAAAGTACGCAGTTCTTCAATCAATCGTTTTCATCTTCTTCTTTACATAGTATAAAATAAAGTCAGTTTTTTGTGTTGTACTCTTAGATCTTTTAAACTAAGCGACGGATTTTAAAGTTGTTTTACCAATAGAGCGAGTGATTCAAAAGGCGGGTTTATATGTATATGGCTGGCTTAACCTTACGAGATAGATCAAAATAATGTACTATGAAAATATATATATCTTAAAAAATCTACAGAAAAGTCATCGATGGTATATGTCTATCTATTAAGAATGACCCACAGTAAGCATTATTATCTTTTATATATTACAAAGAAATAATGGGCTATTTACGAAACTATTTTAAACAATACAGTATTATTCCTTATCTAATTAAATACATTAATTATAGATTAAAATTGCCCTTTACAGCTTATCATTAAAATTAATATCTTAGAAGAAATTTGAAATGCGGGGCAAACGACGGTCGTCGAGCTGTAGGTCCGTCCCGGGTGGTAGCGGCCTGTAGGAGGGAGCGGGCTTATAAATATGGTATATACAGTGTCCTATAGAATAATCTTATCATAATAATGGTATAATTAAGTACTCCACACTGACACCATACTAGTAGTATCTATATTGCACCCGTGCGCAACCGGGGCGGATCGTTGGTAATTAAATAAATGTAAGTATTTTATTATTCAAAGAAAACTGAATTTAAATTTAATTCATCAATTTAATAGCCTAGCCAACTAAAGGAAATTTCTGAAGTAATCTCATCATCATCATCATCAACAGCCTTTAATAGTCCACTGCTTTACATAGGCCTCTCCTTAGAAAGGAGGTAATCTGATTAAATCTAAATATCCAAAATTCTGACTAGCAGCCAGCAACCTAGTAGGTAGTTACCATATTCATAAATGTAATCACACAATCGTGTGATTACATTGATTACAGAATGGGAAGGAAAGCATCATATAAATACCACACAATATCATATAAGAATGCAAGTATCTTAATTATGATGATGAAACTGCTAAAGTGATTTCATAATAATAATTATTATAGTGTAGTGAAAACAAAAGTAAACACGATAACAGCAGTGGTGGCAAGGTGCGAAAGAGTTCAGACTCGTTTGCGTGTTGAGTAATTATTATCGGCAGCTGTCTACGTATATGCTCCCCCAAACATACACGCGATCGCAAAAAACGAATTGCCCCGTTTACTCTACCCGACCGCGAACACTCCGTATAGTGGTCAAAGCCGCAGACTCCGCGCATGAATAAAAAAACGGGTAAACAAAAATCTTTTTGCGGTTTACCTTTACCAAGTGTACCAGACCGTGAACAATCGGCGTGAATTATCATGTGGAGCATTTATTAAAGAGATTGTTTGTAAAGCGAGTCGAGGTGTAATAATGCCGCCGAGGTATGCTTGGGACTGTCATCGTAAAAGGATTGTGTTGTTTAACAAATTGTACTTAATAGTCCCTTGGGTGGGTGGTTACTATGTTTTTGTACCACACCATGTGTTGTATTCTTGTTACATTTTCTAGTAATCTGTTAAACACCTGTAAATTTATATATTTTTAGGCTCTGGTAATATTAAAATTGAGGTAACTATTTAAGCTTACTTACGACGAACGATATCATAATAATAAAATTATGGCCACATTTTTTCATTCTAAGATGAGATTGTTAGATAGCTAAGCAAGGGATTTCCTGTCTTTTACTAATTATACGTATACACACTTGAACACGTAACACTTCAGATTTATAGCATCTTGATTCAGTTGAACACGGTATTATAAACGTGTTTAATCACGATAGTAGCTGTAATTTATCAGTCTGCTACCCCTTTATAATATACAGGCACGAACTCACCAGTTGCATTACATGCAAGTACGATCAGCCTTTCTCGTGATTTTGACTCTTTAGTAGAACTACAGTACTTACAATATTTTTTTGTTTTTATATTTCCACACATCTCACACACGGCCGTCTGATCCCAAACTACGCAGAGCCTACTACCTAATATAGTAACCAGAATAGTGATAAATACCTATACTTATATATTTCATAATACATACATATTATAGATTAAGTACACCCAGACACAGAACAAATGACACCAATTCACTCATCACACAATTATTTGTTTAACGTGGGAATCGAACTCACGAATGTGCCGTTTCGATGTGCGTAGCATTCAGGGTCACTAACCACTAGACCAACAGGCTAGTCATTTATTTTACCTCTTCTACTAATACAATTAACTTTTAATCGGACACCCAGTTCTGATAATTCATGTATTTTATTCCTATTATTGTTTGTATACTTTTCGAAGTACAATTCTGTAAAAGACCTAATATTAAGTGTGTTGAGGGCATAGAAATAAGAGGGGTCAAAATAAAGTATCGATTGACCGCACTGTAGTCAGTTAGCCGCCTGATTACCCTATTAGGGAGCAAACACGCTTGCCTTGAAGCTTTTGCCTCGTTCATTTTCAGTAAATATGCGTTCAATCGTTTACACGAGTCATTCCTTCCCTCCCTGTTGGTTAATTAAGCATCCTATTAAAGAGTAATCAGAATTTTAATTATTATGCTAGTACTGCTTTTAATAAAGATTTCTGGAACGGCTTTTCTTAATATTGTGTCGTCTACAAGCTATTATTTATAACTTTTTTACTGTATTTAGTAAGTATTTATTAAAATTATACTGATATCTCTTAAATACAGCGTTCTATTTTTCCTACACTCACGTTATTGATTAAACATTATGAAAAAGTTAATAATAACTGTACGAAAAAGATAATAGCTACTTGATCATTCCTTTTATGATACCGATTATATGCATACTTTGAAAACAAATAATAAAATTAAAATTAATTTTAAAATAACAGCCTAAAAAGGCAAAACTGAGGTTTTACAGATACAGCGATAAAGGTTGTCTTTAATACACAAAAAAGAAAAGTTACATATATAAGGGCGATAAAGGTGCTTGCTCAGTGTTTAATAGTATTTTTTTTATTATTTCGCATTGCTCTTTTCATTAAAAAAGCTTTGGTTAAAGAGGTAACTATACGAGCCTATCAAGAGATAACTGTACAATTCCAACATAATGTTTCTACGACCCGTTAATCGTTCGTCCTCAATTGACAGTAATGACAGTTCATTGAATCACAATCCGACGGAACGACATTTATAATTAATAGCCCAATACAATGAATGACTCTATTAAAATATCTACAACTTGAACTTGTGCAGACAACGGTCCGTTAATCTGTCAGCCACATCGAAATTAATACCGCTCCTTCAAATTTAATACAAGTTTAATTTTCAATAAGCATGTTTAATACCATGAGAGCATAAGGAGTAGGACATAAAGAATTCCTACAGGATCGTGAAACATTAACGAATTGTTTAATCTAATGGGTGTATAAGTAATATTGTAAGACACCCATGTGAAACAGAGAAAATACGAATTTCTTAGAAACAATAATTACGCCTTGTTGTGAAAAAAAAAAATACATGGTAAATCCGATTAATGGAATTAGATAAACTACGCTCTTTGGTTATTTGTTATAAAAGAGATATCATTGGCTTTATCCACAAAATTAAGAAATCCTTACTTCAATAATTACAGCAGTTTGCAGCAGCTGATAACTGTTTTCAACGGTTTTAAATTGGAATGATAATTAATTAATTTCACTTGAAACAAAACGTAGAATAGTTGTGCGTGGTGTGGGGCTAACATTTCACCCTCTTCCTGTCAGTAAGTTTAGACAAGACCAGACGCGTTGTAATCAGCCAGGTGACCATTTAATTACGTTCAACAAATTTTGTAGTTTAAAACGCTTGAATATTTTATTGGTCGCCCCATTATTAACAGAAAACACAATGATGCCTGATGTCTCCAATGAATTAAACTCGTTGGCAACAATGACGTCTGTTGAGAATAATGATTGCAATCATTGTTCTCATTGCATGAGAATTCAGCCTGAGAAAATTTCAGCAAAATGGCTGTGTTTACTTTTTATGAAGAGTAAACACTTTAATGTGTTACTGAGTGTATTACTGTGTTTTCTTTGCTGTCCTCACGAGTTTCTTCGATACACAGCTGTCAATAAAATGAAGGGAATCAATAACATCGATTTCAAAAAGATAAAATTATAACAGAAAATTATGCGTTATAGCAAGATTAAGCGAAGAAATTGAGGAGAAAAAAAAATGTACTAACTTATAAAATGTGCCGTTTCGATGACTACTGTCATAATTTCAAGTTTGAATTGTTACATCTTTTGTTTGTATTCACCCGATTTGGCCCTAAATTACACGTTTATCTTTAACTTACAATTTTCAGTAGACAGCGGTTCACCTCGAATGAAGAAGTCATTACTCAGACAAATAATTTAAAGGCAAATATTTTAAAGGCTTATCGAAATGATTAAAAAGTTTGAGAAACGAATGGAAAAGTTCATAAAACAATTACGTTCAAATAGATCCTGTGCGTAAATTTTGAATTATGTGTCATTAATATGCTATATTATTAGTAATATTTGATTTTTTTATCTATTCAGACGCATTCTTACTCCCCATGGAAATAAAAGAGATGATTAGCTAACTTAAGCGAATTTCGCTCGAAATGCATACAAATTTAGATAATGATGATGAGCATTTATCATTGATCATTCTGTTTTGGGCATATTTAACAGTTATGTAACTCTACAAGAAGTGCGCTTAACTAAAAAAATAATAGCCTGCCAGCCGTTTTCATTAATACATTTAAACCTAATTTTTACATAATGTTTAAACTACTTCAATGTTTACATTATAACGTACTTATTTTGTATTTTATATCTTAATGTTTATTATAAAAAAAGCTAAGCAAAACTTTTGTTACAGTCCGAGCGGTACAGCATTGAGTACTCTCCCGCAGTTACGAGATTATCTCCAGACGTCTGGGACCTGTAAGTGTGGACTACCTTGTCCTCTAAGGCCAGAAACGACGTTCAGCTTTGATTCTAAGGTAACGTTTTTAAATCTCATTTCATCTTAAAACAATTTTTTTTCTATGATTTGGGAGATTCTAAATATGTAGAGTTGTTTTGTAATTATTTTCCTCAAAGCATGTTCGCGAACGAATTTGTACATGTAGATCATGTAAACAACTAAAATTCATAGGAAAATAAATTGTTCATTTTCTATTGATTGTTCATTATAGCAGCGACAAGAACAGTTTCGATGAAGTTCGATACATTCCATTAAGCAATTGATCGACAGAAGGAATGTCTGTTGTCGAACCGTTCCACTTTTTCTGCTCTGGGAATGTTTCGTGTATAGCCGGTTAGCGAGACGCGCTAAAACTTCTTGCATCGTGAACGTTTATATATAAAATATAACAAAAATAATTATTATATTTGATAATAATGATAGGTTTTAAAAGTATAAACAATACAATTATATGTTTAGGATGATAAGGCTACAAAATATCTGGACATCAAAAAGTGCCTGCGCTGACGTGCTGTAGTGACTAAGTGACTAAATTCTTGATTCATTATAATTCTACTGAACCACGTGGCGTGGTGCTAGAATAATTCTCAAGGTTATTTCTTTTTTGGTTACGGGTAGGACCAGTTGCTGACCGTGTCCGCTCTCCATACTGAAGCAGTCTTTAAGTACCTATTAAACGTGGGATGATTCGTTAACTACTGTCAGCAAAGCTGGCAAAATTCCCTTTCGTGAGAAACTCATGCAATCGGATTGGGGCGTTTTACTCAATTCGTTCGCATGAAGTTTGCATCGCGGACACACGCAACTTCTTGGAGCCACTGGTTACGAAATTAAAATGTATTTAGCCGATAGAGATTATATAATAATAATATAGATAGAGAATAGATAGAGAAGAGAGTCGACTTGAATTTTGCAATGTTATGAAGTGTCACAAATTACTTCTTGGCGCCTAATAAAGAAATGTGTCAATGCTTTCAATAGGTTGTGTTTTACTTTAACAGTCGAATCATGACCTTGTAGACTTGGTTCCGGAACATGAGTGTGTAACGTGAATCATCCCTAATATTTCAGTCAGATCCTTTCGCTCTTAACTCACAAATTTAAATTATATAGGTGTTAAAGAACTATATAATTTAAATTTGTGAATTGAAATTATTTAGTTCTTAAATCCTATTTTTTTACTGAACCGTCCCTCACCTCTTGGATTTTGTCGATTACTGTTTGGACACTATGGAATTACCAAAGTTGGCATATTCATCTTCATTTTACATTTTCATAGTCAGAAAATTTTAAGAATTGAAGTTTCATTGTCCGTGTCACATTTGTATGTAATTCCTAACTATTTTGAAAGACACATACATGCCTTTCACACGACTCTTTAATATGACAATGAATAAGACTTTAACGAATCATATATTATGAACCCAATTAGTTTTTACTGTGTTTTACATGTTAACGACATCTCGTTCCTACTCTTAGTTTTGAAAATGACTACATTTCGTTATAACTAGAAAGGAACGCTAGACCTAGTAATATCCACCTGGTATTAGGAATAAAAAGGACACCTAAGTTTTAGTTGTATTATAAAAATCATCAAAGAAGTAGCAAAAATATACACCCTTGTTTAGTCCGTACTTGGTGCAAAAAGCGAGACATTAATAAATTAGAGCAATTATCATGTCAGTGTCACCTTGACATATAGCGAGGCCGATAAAATACTGAGTAATACTCCCACCGATTTATGATCTGTCGCTTGGTAAATATCAAACATCTGCGACAAAAATGTTTAGACGTATAAACAGTTGCAAAATCGTGTGAAAAAATAGCTTTTGCCGCGATAGTGATCATGTAGGTTGGGTTTTAATGGCAGTTATATAAGCCAATAAATGACTATAAAAATAAAAAAAAAATTAAGTAACTTTTAGGTCTTTAATATTTTATTATGGTAGATTTTATAGATCAGTAACCCTTTACAAGACCTCTATAGTGAATGTGAGTACTTTGGTCCCGGAATACCATACACATTTCTATTCCTTCCGAAATAATTCTGGTTCTATGTCATGTTATCCTGATTTTGACTGCCCTTTTTTTGTGTATACTTAAGTTCACTTGTATGATTGTAGGTACCTTAAATTGGTTTAAGAGTTAGCTGATCTAAAACAAAATTATTAGACTAAAAATTATTTCACGTAAAAGTAAACTACAGGAAGCCACGAATAATATATAAGCCTTCTAGGATCTTCATAGTCAGTAATTTTTAACTGAAACTACATTGAAACTAAATTGTAGGATCAAACGCAGTACCTAAACAAACAAGTAATACACTAAATCCTATAATTAATTAAGTATGGTAGTTCACAGGAGGGTATTGTAAGTGACCTGGTTGATATTGTTAAGCATTCATGGTGTGTAACGTTTGATTTTTAAAGAATGTTTACTGTCAAATATCGTTCACAAAGAATATTTTAATAAAAATGCTACGATACAAGTAAAAGAGTACAAATACGCATAACGACATAAGAGATTACCGGAAATTTTATGTCCAAGGCGATACAGAAAATGTTTTACATCAAAGCCGTCTTCATAATATTGTCGTACTTCCAACTCTTTTCTTATTACGGCCAAATAACTTACTCTCATAAAATAACACTGATAAGATCTAATGATTATGGATTGTTAACGTAAAACCATCATAGATAGTAATGGCCAATAAATTCTCTCTTCATCTTTTATGAGACTGATTTGTAACATGTTCTACAAGGGACCTAACTAGTCATTAGTATTTTAATATTATATCTTTAGGTAGACTTTACGTTATTATTTTCACATGATTTTTAATGCTTGTAAGTTTTGTTAGTATCTTTTATGGTTTTCAACTACACTGAAGAACAAACTTCTGCACTATGAATATTTTAAGCAGCAACGGTTTCCCTTTGCTTCATAGCTTCTTTTTCCACGCTGGAGTGGTAAACCGTTTTATGCTGCTGTCGTGTTTACAGCATCGCTCTTATTTTCAGAGGGTTTTTAATGGAAGGGGGGGTAGACGACGATTACCTAATTGATAATACCTAATACCTAATACGTACGTAATTACCTAATACCTTAATGGAAAGTGACTACCGCCTGCAACACAGGAGTCACAAAAGCGTTGCCGGTTTTTAGGAAGGAGTACGCTCTTTTCTTGAAAGCCGTATCGGTTCGGAAATACCGTAGATGATGACTTGTTCCACAGATTGGTTGTGGGAGGCAAAAAGTGTCTTGAAAAGCGCACAGTAGTAGAGCGCCAATTATCCAAGTGATAGGGATGTATTTTTTTGCCAAGGTGATAAAAGCAATAAGTTGAATTTCTTTACTAACTTTTAAACTTTCGCGTTCCATGATAATTAATATTATTTAACGGGGATTAACACGATCTCTTATGATGATGAGTCAGCCTGTGACCACGGCCGGTGCAACCTAGTCGAAACGTCAGGCAAAGCAGAGGTATGTAATACCCTAAATAAGAGATCGCGTTAATTCCCGTTAAATAATATTGAATTTCTTTGTTTCTCTTGATTCTGTCGAGGCAGTAAGATAGTTTAATAGACCTTTGCTCAGTCTAAACTCTGAACTGTGACCAAAAACTTTTGGTTCGTGATCTGAGTTTGCTCAGCCAAGGTTTGGTTGCGAGGTAGTATAAATCTTTAAAAAATGATCTTGCTATGGGAGGCGCTTTCGTTACTTTCTTAGTAGTGTGGGGGCAGAGGACGATAGGACAGCAAGAACCAGCTGGTCCTTGGTACCAGCACTCGGCCCAACAAGAGCTGTAAGAACCTGTAAGATTGGAGAACATTGGATTTTAATTTTTTGGGTAACTAAAAAAATACCTTAAGTTTATGTTCATCTACTGTAATCAACTGTTCATTAGAAGCGTTTTTTTAAACTAATCCTAAAATGACCTTATCCTTAATTGACTGCTTTGATTTTTACACTCTTTAATTTTTTTTCATGGACCGTAGGAGACTTGTATTCATAATGAATTATTCACCTTACATATTTAGATGAATCTATTTGATTAATTATCTTTAACTATGTGTAACCCCTCTGTTAAAATAAATCAACACTGGTATCATGAAAACAAACTACCTTTCAATAGATCGTGTCACTCAAAGCAGACTTAACTAGCCCTCTACAATGAAAGAATGGGGGAATATAATCGTAACTACATTATGGCTAACAAGCGGATTCATAGTTGCAACCTTGCAACCCCTGTGGGCATGCATTAAGTTGTATTTTTCGTATTTTCCATATCTTCTTAGTAAGTCGAAATTAGTTGTTTTTTTCTTTATCCAGTTGTTTTTTGCTTGATCCATTTTTGTCCTTAACTATTAAATGTATATACTACAAAAAACAAGAAATCATGAAATGAAACAACTTGGTACTTTAAAAAATGTAGCTAAATAAATTTAAATAACACAATTTAAACAACAAATTACATTATTTATTTATAAATTTAAATAACTATAAATAAATAACTAAATAACTCTAAATGTGAATAAATACGCAACGAATTTAGACAAAAGACCTTTGCTGTGCGTACAAGATTCAGCTAACTCAGAAGCTCAAACCAGCAGACCATGGAAAGCGCGACAATTCGTTCAATGAGTAATGGAGCAAAGTGAAGTCGATGCCAATTTTTCAAATAAAGTCTATCTTCTCCGATGATGCGCATTTCCATCTGAATAGCTACGTTAATACACAAAATTGACGAATTTAGGGGCTCAGAAAATCCTCATGCAATCCATGAGAAACAAATGCACCCACAACGAGCAACTGTCTGCAACGGTGCGGATTTTGGTCAGGCGACGTGATTGGACCTTACTTTTTAGAAACGAAACTGCAGTGACTTTGAACGGCATTCGTTACAGGAATATGTTAACGGAGTTCTCGTGAACTCAACTGGACGGCATGGATCTGGACAACGCGGTTTCAGCAGAACGGCGATACCTGCCACACCGCGCATTAAACAATCGACTT